AGCTGCAGAAGAAAAGTTTGAAGCTAGCATAGGTTGGTTCATGACATTTAAGGAAAGAAGCTATCTCCGTACCATAAAAGTACAAAGTGAAACAGCAAGTACTGGTGTAGAAGCTGCAGCAAGTTATCCAGAAGATGTAGCCAAGATAATTGATTAAGGTGGCTACACTAAACAACATAATTTCAATATAGAAGAAAAAGTCTTCTATTGGAAGATGTCATCTAAGACTTTCCTAGCTACAGAGGAGAAGTCAATGCCTGGCTTCCGAGCTTCAAAGGACAGGCTGGTGGTGGAGATTAAGTTAAAACCAATGTTCATTTACCATTTTGAAAATCCTAGGGCCCTTAAAAATTATGCTAATTCTGTTGTGCCTGTGTTCTGTAAATGGAATAATGAAGCCTGGATGGCAGCACATTTGTTTACACCATGGTTTGCTGAATATTTTAAGCCTACTGTTGAGACCTACTGCTGAGAAAAAAATACTATCTTTGGACTGTTACTGCTCAGTGAGAATGCACCTGGTCACCCAAGGGCTCTGATGGAAGTATGCAAGGAAATTAGTGTTGTTTTCATTCCTGCTAACACAACATCCATTTTGTAGCCCATAGATCCAGGAGTATTTTAGACTTTCAAGTCTTATTATTAAGAAATACGTTTTATAAGGCAATATCTGCCATAAATAGTGATTGCTCTGATGGATCTGGGCCAAGTAAGTTGAAAACCTTCTGGAAAGGATTCACCATTCTTCATGTTATTAAGAACATTTGTGATTCATAGGAAGAGGTAAAAAGATCAGCATTAACAGGAGTTTGGAAGAAGTCCATTCCAACCGTCATGGATGATTTTAAGGGGTTAAAGACTTCAGTGGAGGAAGTAACTGCAAGTGTGATGGAAATAGTGAAAGAACTAGACTTGGAAGTACAACCTGAAGATGTGACTGAATCGCTGCAATCTCATTATTAAACTTGAACCGATGAAGAGTTGCTTCTTGTGGATGAGCAAAGAAAGTGGTTTCTTGAGATAGAATCTACTCCTTGTGAAGATGCTGTGAACATTGTTGAAATGACAATAAAGGACTTAGAATTTTCTATAAACTTAGTTGATAAAGCAGTGGTAGAGTTTGAAAGGATTGACTACAATTTTGAAAGGCGCTCTGCTGTGGGTAAAATGTTATGAAACAGCATCTCATGCTACAGAGAACTCTTTTGTGAAAGGAAGAGTTAACTGATACAGCAAACTTCACTGTGGTATTATTTAAGAAACGCTACAGCCACCCCAAACTGGACTTCTAAGCAGCACAGGTGCCTCTGCACTCTCTCGTTATTCTCCAGGGTTCTCCCACTGACACTCCAGTCAAATCTTAGCTGTTTATCTGGTGCCTTGGTCTTTTTTTGTTGAGAGTGGACTAGCACCAGGCCTCTCTTGTCAGCCATCTATCTGATGTCACTCCTAAACATAACTTTTAGAAAACCAAATACTGCATGTTCTCACTTACAAGTGGAAGCTAAATGTTGAGAACACATGGACACATCTGGGGAACAACATACACTGGAGCTTTTCAGAGAGTGGAGGCTGGGAGGAGGGAGAGGATCAGAAAAAACAACAAATGAGTACTAGGCTTGACACTTGGATGATGAAATAATCTGTACAACAAACCCCCATGACACAAGTTTACCTGTGTAACAAACCTGCACATATACCCCTGACCTTAAAAGTTAAAAAAAATTTTTCTTTAAGAAAATTGACGTTGTAAAAGCAAGCAATCAAACAAACATAACTTTTATGTGCATTGGGAAACCAAAAAATTTATGTGACTTACATTATTGCGATATTCTCATTGCAGTGGTCTGGAACCAAACCTGCAATAACTGCAAAATATAGGCGCCTGCATCTAGTTCAGTGGTATTAATCTTAAGCACTTCCATAAAGTTGTGCAGCCATCACCACCATCAATTTCCATAACTCTTTTCATCTTGTAAAACTCAACTTCTGTACCCATTAAACACTAACTCCCCATTTCCCTCTCCTCTTATTCCCTAGTAACCACCATTCTGTTTTCTGTCTCTATGATGTTGACTACTCTAAGTACCTGACATAAGTGGAATCATACAGTATTTTGTTCTTATGTTACTAGCTTACTTCACATAGCATAATGTCCTCAAGGTTCATCCATGTTGTAGCATGTGTCAGAATTTCCTTCCTCGCAATTTGCTTATCCATTCCTCTGCAAATGGGCACTTGGCTTGCTTCCATGTGTTATCTATTATGAATAATGCTGCAATAGACATGGGGATACAGATATCTCTTCAAGACCTGGCTTTCAATTCCAGATATATACCCAGAAGTAAGATGATAAATTTTATCTTAAAAATTTTTTAAACACATAAGGTGAAGTCAATAAAACCTTCGTTTTGATATGGCAAACCATTTTATTTTAAGGCAATGAGACAGAATTTTTTTAATGAATAAATATCACCATTACCACTCTCTCTTGTATCCTCACCTAAGCCGTCTCACCTAGGTTCCCAATCTGTCAAATAATGCACATAGAGATCCAAAAGTAGGGAGAAAGGAAAGAGGAGATAGGATGCTTACCTGTCAGTTCTGTCTCCCTCACCCCACCATTTTGTTTTTTGAAGTTTGTTTAAGAATTCCAGACTCTCTGATTTGCCACATAAACTAGGCATCGATTTAGGCTTTCCTCATATTTTTAAAGACTAAAAATAAGTCTTAGCATGCATTCTTTTGACCAAAATGACCCTAAAACTCATCCCAACTAACAGTGTTACTTAGTTGTCATAGTAGTAACTGTAGTTTTAAACTGTGCCAGGACTATTACAAATGCAATCTAGGTTGATCAGATGACAGTTATGAATATTATGTCTCTTTTTAGAGGAACAGTGAGACTAGAATGTCTCCATAGGCAAGTAAACAAGTTGGTGATGAATCTGAAACATATATCCTATGAAAAGAACTGGAGATGTTTTATATTAAAAATAGACAGCCAAGACAGGAGCCATTACCTCTGTCTTCAGATATTTGGGGGACAATTATATGAAAGAGGAATTTATTTGGAACATGAGTGTAAATTACAGAAGGAAAGATTTCAATTTTACATTTTAAAAATACTTTTTGTAACTTACAGTTGCCCAGCAGGGCCCTTGTGGGGAGGTGCACTCCCACCAAAAATTTTTAAGAAACTAGTTTACTGCCTGACCAACATGGAGAAACCCCATCTCTACTAAAAATACAAAATTAGCCAGGCATGGTGGCACGTGCCCGTAATCCCAGCTACTTGGGAGGCTGAGGCAGGAGAATTGCTTAAACTCAGGAGGCGGAGGTTGTGGTGAGCTGAGATCATGCCATTGCACTCCAGCCTGCACAACAAGAGCGAGACTCCATCTCAGAAAGAAAAAAGAAAGTAATTTACTTTCTATTTGGAGAATTATATGGGAAATGCCTTCTTGGTGGTCTCTGGGACATTTATTTGGAGCCCTGGGCCTTTAAGGAATCCAATTTGAAAACCACCAATCGAGACCAGTATAGCCAGATTAAAAATCTAGTTATTCCAAATATTTATTTCCTATTTAGTCATTCAGTATAAAAAATGAAGAGCCATTGAAAGATGCTGAGGAGAATGACGTGGTTTGGTTCGTATTTAGAAAGGTCACCACGTTGACAATACGGAAATTAAAATCAAAACTGTGATATTGGAAGCAAGGAGACGAGTTTGGAGGTTGCTACAATGGCCTAAGCAAGAAATGATTAGAAGCTAAACTAAGACAGTTGCAATGATAAGTAGAGAAAAGGGGTTATGGTTAACTGTATTGAGAAGTAGAATTAAAAGACCTAATGATCAGTTTGCTGTGGTGGGAAGGGAGGAGTCTGAGTTAATTCTCAACTTTATTATTTTTGGGGATTGAGTAAATAAGGTTGACTTTAGTGGAGATAGACTATGTCAGGGGAGCTGTAGGTTTGAAGGGAAAGATCTTGAATTTAGTTTTAGAACTGGTAAATTAATTGACAGCTCACCTCAGATTAAGTTATCTAATAGCAAGCAAAGTTAGATATGGAACTTTGGAGCAAGGTCTGGGCTAGAGAAGTAGTGTTGGGAGACATGGATGTAAGTTTGGCAGGCGAAGCTGTGGGAGTCCAGCCAGGGGCAGAGGGAATCAGAAACACTGAGGAAGCAGTTTGATAGATATAAGAGGAAACTGAGTAAGTCCTTATAATTTCTTTTTTAATTTTTTAAAAGTAAATATATATATATATATATATTTTTTTTTTTTTTTAATTTGAACAGGGTCTTGCTCTGTTGCCCAGGCTGAAGTGCAGTGGCACAATCATGACTCACTGCAGCCTTGACCTCCCAGGCTCAAGTGACCCTCCCAACCTCTGCCGCCGAAGTGGCTGGGACTACAGATAGGTGCCACCATACCTGGCTAATTTTTTGTATTTTTCATAGAGACAGAGTCTCGCTATGTTGTTCAGGCTGGTCTTGAGCTCCTGGGCTCAAGCATCCCTTCCACCTTAGCCTCCCAAAGTTCTGAGGTTACGGGCAATGCGCCACCATGCCTAGCCAAGTCCTCATAATTTCTTACAGCTGAAAATGTACGATAACAATAGCAATGCAGGCTTAAATGCAAAGAAAAAAAGTCCACCAAAAACACTTGAGTTTTTAAACTTTACTTTCTTTGAGAAATTTGAAATACAACTGAAATGATTTTTAATAAAATTACGATAATGATTCTACTAGACTTCTGAAGTGTTTCTACAATCTAAACATTCCAGACCTTTGCCTAATCATCAGCTTAATTTTTATTTGGTCTGGGTATTTTTAAATTCTTATTTCACTTTGTTCTTTGTGAAATTAATTTTGTTGGCCTTGAATCTGACCAGTGCAAATTTATTATATGGTTTCATAAAAAATCATACTTCAATGAAAATACTTCCTTAAATGTAAGAACTTATACCTTCCTTATGTTCTTTGTTTACCTAAGGAAATGCAACCTCACCACAAGTACAAAGACCATCTTTCATGGACTACTTTGATAAGCAAGACTTCAAGAATAAGAGTCACGAAAACTGTAATCAGAACATGCATGAACCCTTCCCTTTGTCCAAAAACGTTTTTCCTGATAACTGGAAAGTTCCTCAAGATGGAGACTTTGACTTTGTAAGTACATTTTAATCCTTCCATTTATGTTTTTTCCTTCTATATTTTACCATCAAATTGAGAAGCATAGTTCATATGTATGTGAACTGTGTGTATGTATATACAATTATAGACCATATGTTAATATTCATTTTACAGCCATATACATGGGTAGAGGAATTGTGAAGCTGTAGCTTGCTTATAGAAATGTACTTGCAGAAAATGCTTTTTTATAGTTAAATAAATCATAGCTCAAATTTAGACAAATATTCAGGACTCCTTAAAACTAAAATGACAACTATTTTAAAAGATGTTTTCAATAATGCAAATATGAGATACTTCTGACAGTCAGTAAACTCAGTTGCCAAAATTAATGATGCAAAGGTATTTATGACATAGTTTGAGAATTTGCTTCAATTTTGAAAGTATATGAGTTGGTTTCTATTTGAATAAGTGTTAATTCCACTTGGTTTCTCAGAAATAATAGTCCTATTCTGTACCTAGGAGCATATAAACTTCCGTATAAAACTGCCTTATCGCCTATTTTGTTATATTTTCTCTTTATTTCTTCTACCCTGGTTCTTCTTACTTCTTTTAAAGAATGCATAAAATACAGGTAAATTATTTTAAAGTAACTGTTTCCAGAACTTGAGAGAATAAATTCTCAAAATGAGTTATTTAATGGAGTGAAAATTTTGTGGAGTAAATTTTTACTTAAGAACATTTTAAATAATAATGTTACTTTTGCATATTGTTCTAGAAGATTTTTTTCCAAACAAAATAACTTTATAATCCTTTGTAGTTTTATTAATAAATGTATGTATACATAAATACAATTTTAGATATATGTAAATATATACATTTTTTAAATTTAAGAATTTTTAAGTAATATTAAACCATTTTGCTTAGACAACATGACTCCAAATGCTTTGCAATTATAAATATTTTAAGTACTTTTTTCCTCAATATTGTGATTGAGTTTTTAAATAATCAGATAATAAAGTTTCAAAATCTGTCCCCAATAAATTTAGTACTAATTGCTAGCAAATATTAGCAGTATAATTCACAGGTTAGCCTGCAAACATCATTGCAATGTCTACTTAATATTTTTTTCAATATCATAGTAAGCAATTAGAAAAATAAAATCAGTATGTCTTTAGTGCTAATAAGATTTCATTTTAAGCTATCTACTTTTTAAAAATTATGAATTATTTAGAATGCTGACATTTAAGCTTTAAATTATTCATGAATATAATGAATAATGTAGAGTATTTAACCTCAAAGAGTTCTGTCTTGTGTCAGTTGGAATAAATCTTTTTTTTTTTTTTTTTTTTTGGCATAAATTTAAAGGTTTTTTAAATTTACAAGTGCCGTTTTTTAAATTTACATGGATATAGTGCATCGTGGTGAAGTCTGGGCTTTTAGTGTAACCATTACCCAAATAATGTGCTTTGTACCCTTTAGGTAATTTCTCATCCCTGACTCCCTTCTTGCCGTCTCACCCTTCCAACTTTCCATTGTCTATTATTCCACACTCTGTGTTCCTGTGTACACATTAGTTAGCTCCTACTTATACATGAGAACATGTAGTATTTGACTTTGCTGTTTCTGTTTCACTTAAGATAATAGCCTCCAGTTCCATCCATGTTGCTTCAACAGATAAGATTTTATTCTTTTTTATGGCTGAATAGTGTGGAATACATCTTAATGGTCTCTGAGAAACAGTTTGAAATGAGCTACAAAGTAATGAATAAATTATCACGGTTAAAAAATGGCAAATAAAATGATTTAATTTTGCTTCAGTTAATCTTTCTACCACCCCAAAATTTAATGGCTTAAAATAACAACTATTTTACTTTCATCAAAACCACAATTTTGTGGGTTAATAGTTTGTCTAGGTTTATCTAAGTGTGTCTTCTGCTGGGCTCACCTGGGGTTTCTTAAGTGACTGAGGTCATCTACTGGCTTGAATGGGGCTGAACAGTCTCTCTAAAGTTACTTCACAAATGTGTTGGCAATTGTGCTGACTATTGACTAGGTCATATGATCTCATTAGGCAAGCCTGGGGTTTTTACGTGGCCATAGTAGCCTTCCAAGAAGGTGAAAACAAGGTTGTAAGGCCTCTTGACGTCAACTTAGAATCTGCACAGTGTCCATTGATGATAGCATCAAAAAGAATGAGATACTTAAGAATAACCAAGTAGGTAAAAGACTTGTACACTGAAAACTGCAAAAATATGGGTGAAAGAAATTAGACATCAATACATGAAAAGACATATTCATAGATCATAAGCTTTAATATTGTTAGGATGTTTCTATTGCCTAAACCGATCTACAGATTCATTGTTATCTCTGTCAAAATCCTAATGATATTTTTTGCAAAAGTAGAAAAAACTCATCCTAAAATTCATATGGATTCTCAAGGGACCCTAATTAGTCAAAACAATCTTGAAAAAGAAAAACAAAATTGAAGATCTCATGTTTCCTGATTTCAAAACTTACTACCAAGCTATTGAAATCAAAACAGTGTGGTACTGTCAGAAAGACACATGTAGACCAATGGAATAGAGAGCTGAGAAGTAAACTTTTCACATCTTTGGTCAAATGATTTTCGACAAGGGTCCTAAGACCATTCATTGGGGGTAAAGAAGAGGCTTATCAATGAATCGTGCTGGGAAAACTGGATATCCACATGCAAAAGAATGAAGTTGGAGTCTTACTTGACACCATATACAAAAATTAGTTCAAAATGGGCCAAAGATCTTACAGTAAGAACTAAAACTAAAAAATTACTAGGAAATACATATGAGAAAAACTTCATGACTTTGGATTTGGCAGTGATTTCTAGGCTATGACACTAAAAACAAGTAACAAAAAAATAGATAAATTGGACTACATCAAAATGGAAAACTTGAGTTCATCACAAGACACTATCAACAGAGTGGAGGGCCACCAATGGAATGATAGAAAACATTTGTAAATCATATATCTGATAAGAGGTTAATATTCATAATGTATAATGAACTCCTACAACTCAACAGCAACAAAAAAACCCCAAACAATCAATTTCAGAAATGAGCAAAGGGGCTGGGCATGGTGGCTCATGCCTGTAATCCCAGCACTTTGGGAGGCTGAGGTGGGTGGATCACCTGAGGTCAGCAGTTCGAGACCAGCCTGACCAACAAGGTGAAACGCCACCTGTATTAAAAATACAAAATTAGCTAGGACGTGGTGACACATGCCTGTAATCCCAGCTACTTGGGAGGCTGAGGCAGGAGAATCACTTGAACCCAGGAGACGGTGGTTGCAGTGAGCCGAGATCACGCCATTGCACTCCAGCCTGGGCGACAAAGCAAGACTCTGTCTCAGAAAAAAAAAAGGGGAAGGGGGGCAAATGACTTAAATAGATATTCTTCCAAAGAAGATAAACATGGCTAATAAGTACGTGAAAAGCTTCAATAATTATCATTAATCATTAGAGAAAGGCATATCAAAACCACAATTAGATACTACACACCCATTCAAATGACTATTATCAAAAAACAAACAGAGAAAATAACAAGTGTTGCGGAAGATGTAGAGAAATTGGAACCTTTCCTTGTGCACCTGCTGGTGGAAGTATGTTGTAGTCACTATGGAAAGCAATATGGTGGCTCCTCAAAAAAAACTAATACAGGGTTATCATATAATCCAGCAATTCTACCTCTAGGTATGTACCAAAGAATTGAAAGCAGGGTCTCAAAGAGATAGTTGTACACCCATTTTCATGGCAGCGTTATTCATAATGACAAAAAGGTAGAAGCAACCCAAGTGTCCATTGATGGATGAAAGGATAAAAAAAAATGTTGTAATACATGAAATGGAATATTATTCAGCCTCAGGAAAGAAATTGTGCAATATGCTACAACATGGATGAGCACTGAAGACATTATGCTAAGTGAAATAAGCCAGGTCACAAAAGGACAAATGCTATATGATTCTACTTATATGAGTTACCTATAATAGTCAAATTCATCGAGATGGAAAATAAAATGTTGGTTCTCACGGGCAGGAAATAGGGAGTTATTGTTTAATAGGTACAGAGTTTCCGTTTTGCAAGACAAAAATCGTTCCAGAAGTGGATGGTAGTGATGCTTGTATGAAAGTGTGAGTGTAAATAATGCCACTTAACTGAACACTTGAAAATGGTTAATTGCATAAAAAATGCATAAGAGAAGAGGGGAAAGAATTTGCACAGTGTCACTGTTGTCATAGTCTGTTGTCAAAATCTGTCAGAAGTCTAGTCCTAACTCAAAGGATATGGAAATAAATTTCCCCTCATGATGGAAGGAACAGCAAAGTCACGTGGCAAAGGGTGCTGTGAGATGGAAGGAATTATTACGGTACACTTTGCAGACAATCTAATAGAAAGGGTGTTAATTAAAACTCAATAGAAATTAGAATGTTGAATTTAGGAAATGAGAGTTCATTAATGATTTTGATAATGACCATTGCAGTACTCTACTTTCAGATTTTTCACATACACACAATTTTTGACATGTAGCCTTCTACTGTCTGTCTTAGACTCATTTTAGTTTTGTGAATCTATTTTTCCAGTGGCTAACTCCTGAAAGTAAACTTTTGGAAACACTTTTAGCCCCTCATAGGTTTTGTAGTCATTCTATCTGGAAATTCCAAAATTTGTTAGAAAACATTAAGCTAATTTAACAAATATTTTACTTTCTGCTTTGGATTGTGCTAGGCACTGTGGGTAAAAATAAATTATACTGATGTATTAAGAAGACAAGGTATGAATTAATGAAGTGGTAAGTTGTAATCCAGAACAGTAACTCAGACATTGCCATGTGGTTTTGAATAAGAGGGAGATTTGGTGAAGGCTGGAGTTGTATATGAAATTATAATGTGGAAGAGGACTTTGTCTAAGCATTGATAAATGTATAGCAGAAAGAGAGAAGGTAGGCACTACAAGGAATGATGTGTAATAAAAAGCTTAGCAGTAGGAAAGTATAATGTATATTGGG